CTGCCAGGCCTTCTGTGGCCGTCGGAGCCTCGAAAGCTGCTCAGTGTTCGCCACGCTCATGCCAACACAGAAGCATCGCTATGCAACGGCGAACAATGTAGAATTTTGCCCTCTGCTTCTTCACCAGGTGGCTGCACTTCTGCCCAAAGGACTTGCAAGGGTCGCAAATCTGCTGATCCTCTTGTTGATGATGGCGATTACTTTGGCCTGTGCTACTCTCCTTCACTGCCATGAATGATGTGTCTGGTACTCCACCATAAAAGCAGTAAATATATGCAGCGGTAGAAACATGAGAGCTTCGGCTCCGTGTGGGATGCATTTATATAGCAGAGGAGATATGCACAAGAGCAGGAAGCCAGTAATTCTGGGTCTTCTAGATCAAGTATGGATTGTTACTATAGCAATCCACTAGTTGTCAGAAGCATATGAAAATAGAATGGGCCAAGGTTACTACAAGTTTTACCCTCCTAGTCCTATGTTACCATATTGCAGTCAGGAAGGAAAAGAAAAAAACAAAAAAGCAGGTACTTTATTTCAAACTTGGTTCCATATTTGTTTCAACATTGTATTTGTTTTTGCCTACACAGAATATTCATGATTTCTATAGCTGATATGATTGTTCAAATACAAAAGAACGATTATTGTTTTGTTTAAGTTGAGAGGGGATTTAGAGAGAGAGGGGGGGGTTATGGTTAAAGGCTGGCTAGAGTCTCATAGAGTACGAGCTCTTTTTGCCTATTTGGAAGGACACAAAGGGTGGCCCAGCCTCCCTATTATGCCTTTGTATTATATATTATGTGAGGATATATATAACATATCTTGTATGTGATGGAGGAGAAACTCTGAAATTATAGAGCCTATTTTAAGTCCCTTGAGAATTGTCCGTTGTTCTTTAGAATCTAGTAAACATAAGCACATTAATTAGAGATACTTCTTTTCTTGTTGCTGCACTACTTATAGTTTGTGGCAACAAAGGCGTGAAATTTCCGTTCATCATCTTTAGGCAATTTTCTGTCCAAGGCGTTGCACATGATAGTTCGTCCTTTGGCGTCTTCATTAAGGTTGGTGTTCTCTCAGCATTTTAAGTATACACCGTTGGTATAGATGGTTTAAGCTTGGGTTCAGTGTGATGATGTTTATGTCAAATTCAGAGATACCCTTCTCTGGTGGGACCTATCTTGTGCCAAGCCCTTAATTGGTGTCACTTTTCTGTTGGATTTGAAAGATACCTTTTCTACGAGGGGTCTTTACCACCATAAATCACATGTCCAACTTTCATAATCACCACCATCACTCGCAATGATTTAATAAATAAATTTCTCATTTAATGGGTCAAGATACAGCACAATTACAGTACTAATCAAACTCATTCACATTTTACAGCTTGCACGCTTTGATAATATTCAAGTACTTAAAGCGCTCGACCAATTTTTTTTTTTTTAAAAGGTGCTCGAGGTAAAAGCTGTTTACTTCCTTGTCCTTAAACTAAAAGCTATTTATTCTCTCTTATCTTATTTGTCTGTATCTATCTCTTTCGTGTCTATCGTAACATCTAGATTTTAATCTACGGTGAATTACAATCAAGTAGTGAACCAAGGTGAAGAATAATGAGTTGCTTTACCTAATACTTACTCCTAAAGCTCCACTACCTTTTCTTCTTTCTTGATTGACTTGATGGTTTATTCTGAATCACTAAACCAGATAAACAAATACACTCAAGCCAGCCAAGTCGAGAAATCTTGGCGTTTCAATCATATCAAATCAGACTCAATCTAGTGATTCTGACCACCAATATGTTCATTTCAAAGTAATTGAAGCTAATCGTGAGAGAATGATGAATGTATATCTTTGAGGATAGACGGAGCTGTAATGAACCTCTGCCTAAAATTAAAGCCCAGGAAAATTACTGCAGCAAAAGCACACATTATGTTGGGAGTTTGCACGTTGAACCAAAGAAATAGGTGTTAAAGAAAATTAGAAGATATGACAGCTGTAAAAGATTAATCAATGTCAAACGCCAATGCATTTTATTATGTTAAATACAAAACAGCCAAATTCAACCACCCGAACTCCAGAAAAAGTTAGAAATCATGACGGCAAGAAAAAAAAGCATACAACCAGACATGAAACTCTTAAAGACGCAGCTTGGAAGAATTAAATGGTCATGTTGCTGAGAGCCTGAGTGGTTACTACGTCCCAAATGATTAAAAAAAAAATGTTTTAATGGGTAAGATATAGCGAGCTGCAGAGTCATACCGAATCTGCAGCTGCTTGAAGAGTGACGTGATCACCCCATTCACCAGTGCTCCTAGTTTAATGCAAGTAAACTACATGGATATTAACGTAGTTAACTCAAGAGTAATCATACACAAAACCACACGGACATTTAGATAGAAACATGGAGGGGAGGGGGTGAGATAGTAAAAAGGTTCCATTACCTCGACATTGCATCCATGTTGTCGCCAAATTTCATGGGAACATTTTCCTTATGAATCTCCAGATGAGACTTGAGCTGTTGTGGTAAAACATCATCAAAGCCAACACCAATCAGAATCCAAAAGTGATGGACAAAAGCAGAGCATTTGGGCAAGCATTTTTTTTTTTTTTTTAAATTACAACTGAGACCAAAAGCTAAAAAAACTTACAAAAATAATCAAGCAAGAGCCCCTTTATTATCATCTATTACCTTCAAACAAAAAGGTGAGGGTTGATCAAAAGATAAATACTCACCTACTCTATCCTGAGCAAATTTAGCTATAAAATTAGCACAAAAATTAACCTCCTTAAGCATAAGATTTACTGTTATATTTTGGGCAAGCATATTACAAGATAATACACAACGTAGCTAATATAATTCACAACTTGTCTCACAATCTCATGTTTCTCAGGTGTGTGCGTGGTACAATTGATCAGATATTAATGCTCGGAACTGGGAGGAACCAACATGAAAGATGCTCATTGTTAAAATTTACCACCACTCTGTACCTTAGGTAATGACAATAGACAGTTCTGAGAACGAGGTCTTGGACAATTCCCATGCATGGAAAAAAAAAAAAAGTAGTAGTTCACCGTCTCTTTTTTACCCTGCTCCCAAAACGACGGGCTTCAAACTTCAGTCAAAGAATAAAAGTAAAGGTTTTCGACTTTCAAAGTACATTGACCGCATGAAAAAGGATGGTCAAGACCAAAAGTTGCTTCATCCATCACCATGCTTGAAGACCAATGATTAACAACAAAGGTAAATGTTTTGAATTTCGGCGTGGATGCTAGATTTTAAACTTTAAATATCTTGAAGATAAAGAACATAAAAGAAAAATATCCGCGAAGGTGCCAACCATGGAGGTCATCAGTGTCAAGCTGAATCATGTTATCATAGTATCCAGGAACATGTGTAGCTATGCTAAAACCATATCCGAACACTACATTTTTCAAGAATTCTGAATTCTAATTTCAAATGAGAAAATTCCGACATTGACATTCAATCTATTTAAGAACAAATCATCATAGCTATTTATGGCCTTGGATCGGCCATTTATGTATGTATATATGAATAATATCAAATTCTAACACGTTATATCATTCCTCGCGTGCCATAGAAGAGCAGGATTATTCATTTTGAGTAGAAATTAAAATGATGAAATGATCATTCTCGTTATTTGGACTGTTTCTCTGGTGCAACGTGTTTGTATTGCAGCCAAATAATTTTGACATATGAAAATTTTCGATCAACCCCCGACTCAACATAATTTTAGTCAACTTCCCAAAACTTTAAAATTTCACTGAATATTGAAGAGATTGAAATAAAATTAAAAAGATAACTCACATAATTTTTTTATCTTTGGTGAAATTAGGTGCATAAGTAATTCAGATAGTGAGAATAAACAATTGACGTAAATAAAATTTATAACTCTTATTTACAACATAAAAATATTATGAGTTTGTAACTCTCATCTCACTTATCTCAATTATTCATTTTTTTTATACAAATTACTTATATGCCTTAGGGACTACAAGGTTATTTGAGTCGACTCTTTAATTTCATTTTAATTACTCAAATGTGCATTGAAATATTAGATCTTTGGAATTGACTGAAATTATATTGGGTGAAGAGAATTGACTGAACTTTTCCCTCTGAAATAAGCACTGTTTGGTTCTCTTTTTGAATTTAAAATCTCACCTCTTTTTGTCGATGGAACGAAATAAGAGAGTTAGCTTCTCGCTGGAGAAGGAACAAAAATAAAAGTAAAAACAGCAGCGGCAGCAACATAGCATTGGGATTTTGTGATTGATGGAGCATTAATGAATTATCAGTACATGCGAATGGCTGTTCCGTTTCTTTTCTTTTCTTTTGTCCCCCCCCCCACCCGAAACTTTTTCCGCCCTTCCAGCGGAAAGCTGACTTTTCACTCGATCAGAAAGCTTTAATGGCGTTATTAAAAAGAAAGAAAGCTTTGGAAAAAACAAAAACAAAGCTATGTTGGGTGGGTTCAAGGTTGGACTTCCCGGACTAATCACTGTGGCACTCCTATGTTAACGAAGATGAATGGCTTTTTCTAAAAACAAAAACAAAAAAAGAAAAAGAAAATTTAATTCGTTTTCAATTGAAAATAAGTTAAGTAAGGTTAAGTATATAATTTATATAATATGTTTTTCAACATTATAATCTAGCAGTATTAAAAGAAAAAAGGACCAAGTCAATTTGGGAGGCTCGCTTATTGATGAGATCGTAATGTTGGTTTTGAATTGATTTAGTTTCAGTTTTATCCAGCATTCTTGCCTTGTCGCGGTCAGGATTTCCTCCTCAGCTATCATCCGTTCGCATTATTTTCATTTTGAATCCTTTCACTTCTTTGCATGGGAGAAGTCCGTACATTCATGACCATCACGTGTTGTCGACTTCAAAAATCGTAAGCGATTTGTTTCGAAAGCCAAGCACCGATTTTAATTATTGATCAATTTTACAGTCGTTCAGACATTTTATTCCCGGCTGCATCAGGCTCTTGTTTTCATGCGGCTTATTGTCATACATTTCATACATACATTTACAAAGCAGCTCGCTTTCTAGCTTCAGTCTATGACCGTCAATTATATTCAATCACGTATCATTAACTTCAACTACATCATGAAGCGGTAAAATTACTATATGCATGTCAGCAAATGCATTCACTCAGTAACTCCAACCGTAGCATTTTACAATTCTCAGTATCATCACATGACCTAGCCCAGAACCAGAACACCAAGCCATGATCCATGTGTTTCCCTTGAAATTCATAAATCGTTTGTTAATTTCGTCAATAGCTTTCCCAAAATTTCTTCAAATTGTTGCACAAGCCAAAATCTTTATACCCATCGTTAGAGGAGAATTGCTGAATTGGAAAGGTCGAGCATCATTCTCCTGCGATGGCTTTGAATTCATAAATGATTCTTGCACCAAAGTAAGCCTTGCCCCTGATTAGATAATTGTCTTCAAGCTGTTAACAATCAACATACTTTTAAAAGCTTTGGTCTCCACAACCAAACAAACCAACTATTTTCTCCAGGTTTCAGATCCATGATCCTTCTCTTCTTCTTTTCAGTTCCCTGAGAAACTTCGGCAGCTGCCAAATTCTTCAAGGGTATCTGTGGACTAGTGGCAGTAGAAGATTCCACAAGTCGATTCACCATTTCCAGTACCTCACTCATTTTTGGGCGATTCTTCGGGTTTTTGACCAAGCATCGGTTAGCTATAATGGCAAGTCTCTGTGCTGACTTGAAGAGGGGTTTCCTGTCAAGCCTTGGATCCAGTATTAGTTGAAATTTTTTCCCATCTGATAAGTATGGCCTCACCCATTCCAAGAGTTTTTGTTCACCCTTGGGACGATTTCGATCCACAGGACGCCTGCCGGTGATGAGTTCGTAGAGAAATACACCATAGCTCCACACATCACTTTTTGATGTAAGGCGTCCAGTTTGAATATATTCAGGAGCTGCATATCCCATTGTTCCTACAACCTGTGGAACATAATCAACAATAAGAACACAAGTGCCATATTAATTCACTAGATGCCACTGATAAGTGGCTTGGACCTGTTGTTCGCACAGTATGGGTTTAGCGAGTAAAAGGCATATTCTGGCCAACAATTAAAAAAAAAATAAAAAAAAAAATGAAAGACACATTGGCTATCAATTTGCTCATTGAAACAACAGAAACAAACAATAGAGAAACTTGAATTCAATTAATAACGATAGCACAAGAAAAAATGATTCCCTGATTTGTTTATTATTTTATTTTATTTTACCATACGTGACACTTCTAAAGTGTTCTACATCCAAGTCTACCCAGCACCTTAAAATCATCAGCAGCTTTACTGATGTCCCTATGTTCAGGTCCTATAACTCACTCAAAAACAACTTACAAAGGTCAGAAACAATAAGCTCCCATGTATATGTCAATTGTTAATTTCAGTATTGCATATCAATGCACAGGCTCATACCGCTGTTGAGACATGAGTTAACCCTTCAGATGGGCCCAATCTTGCCAATCCAAAATCAGAAAGCTTTGCATTCCAGTGATCGTCCAAAAGGATATTGGAAGATTTGAAATCTCTGAAGATTATCTAAGCATCTCATACATAAATATAGTTAGCAAAGGCAATAATAAGCTGTCACAACAGATTTGAATAGCAAAGAGGGTATAAAAATAACATTCCATTTCTATTACAGAAAAGTGAGAATCTAGAAAGGCTTTCACCATAGACTAAGCTTTTAGTTTGGATAGCAGAGCTGGTTATACACTTATACCTGAAAATCCATTTCTTCATGAAGATACGTTAAGCCACGAGCTGCGTCCTGAGCTATTTTTAACCTCTTACTCCATGAGAGAGGGACCTCCGATCGGGGGGATAAATGGTGTTCCACACTTCTGTTGGGCATATATTCATAAACCAGAAGCCGCTGGATTCCTCTTTCATCATCATCAGCACAGTAACCCACAAGTTTCACAAGATTAGGGTGCTCAACAATGCCCAGAACATTCACTTCTGTCACCCATTCCTTATGGCCCTGCAAACCAAAAATGAAGTCAACTTACACAACATTAACATATTATGCATCAGAGTAAAATACATGTACAAAAGTTAAACACGAGACAGAATGACCTCTTGTGATGATTAGAGTATCTCGCTAGACAGCAACAACCTTGAAACATCAAGTAACGTTTATTACATACCACAACCAAAAGATTTACACTTTACGCCCAGAATATCTTCTACTTTGGTAAGACAGAGATACGCTCTTCAAACTTATAACTGTCTCTAGTTGAAGCAACTTAAGTGACTGCTCAGAATCCCGAACAGAATACTACGCATTGCAATTTGCTTACCATGCCTTGAATTAATACATAAGTTGACATAACTATACATAATCGCCCTCTCCTAGCCAAGCATTTTGGAAGCTACTAAACTTATTAACTTTTTTTTTTTTGGAGGGGGGGGGGGAACTCTTGCCTGCATTCCTCTTCTACCAAGTTGTTTAACTGCAACTTCAGTTTTTCTGGATGAGTCCTCTAAACCCTTGATCAATCCCTTGTAGACACAGCCAAACCCACCCTCTCCAATCATAACAGTGCGGCCAAAATTTTTTGTGGCTGATTTCAGTTCAGAGACCGTAAACACTCTCAGGTTGCTGGGTCTTTGAGACAGACTGGGAAACGAATTTCTCCTAAGGGAGTCATTGCTATTGTCGGAAACATTCTGAGAATTTAATTCAGAGCCAGATCTTCTCAGATCACCCTCGCCATATATGGAACTGTTGGACAGACCCGAAATTGACTTAATGCTCTTCGGATTATCCTTCTTATCTCCGCAGTGGAATAAAAAGCACTTCATTGGGAATTATTGGACTGCATTTTCACAAAGGGAGAATACTTGAGAAACATTAAAAAAGTGTAAAAGCAATACTCCTATCTGAAAGTCCTAGATAATGAAATTGATTTCTCTACTTTAAATTAATCAGAGAAAAAGGGTCAAAAAGCAGCCAATCTCGCCCTCCCAGCAACGCTTATTTGAATTTCAGACAGCCGAACGAGATACTTCACAGATTTTAGCAAAGGTAAAAACGTCAGCAACATTCGGAGAACGCGAATGAGTCCTCTTCAAGGTTAGTCAATTTTAAACCACAGCTCTGAAACTGCAAACATGTACTGTAATTCAGAAATGAAGATCATTAGCAACATGCTCATAACCTCAAGCGTATTCTGAAAGAATACATGTTTGTAAAGCTTCATACATAATTAGGGTCATTTGAGATAAATCAGACGTCCTGTCCACAAAAGGAAACTACAAAGGAAAAGAGGGAGATAGATTTTGGGGTTGCTTCTAACCTCGAGGATATGTAACCAGTCTGATCGCAGAGGGATTCAGCTTTGAAACACAACGAATTCCCCGTTTTTGCAAGATTGTGAGAGAATTCTGTTAATGGAATGCCTCCAAACAAGCTCCCAAAATTGAAAATGAAGAGAATATCCCCACACGGCAGCTACAGCTCAGCTTACCAACTAAAAAATATATATCTTGAAGCCCAAATCAAGGGATTAAAGAGAAGCTTAATTGAATTAGACAACGTTACATTGAACGGGAAGGCGGGTGTGAATGGGGATTTCGATTCGAGACCAAGTATCTGCGGTGGAAAGTTGATTGATGAGGATGCAATTAATGTGGCCACAGTGCTGTAATTAATTATTGCGGGAACACAGCATCATAAAGATTGTAAATTTTACCGTAGTTCCTTCACTCGTAAACGCGAAAAAGTCCACGAAGGTGGGCCACCAGAATTTTGAATGGATTTCTTGCAAGGAGCTCTTTAATGTTGGAAGGAATTTATCCAGTTCAGTTTTTCTACAGCATAGCATACCATTCAAGTTGATAATAGTAATATGATTATGCTGTGTAAATTTACCGTTAATTGCAATATATATATATATATATATATACACATATTTTGGTTGCGGCCACAGCTGCTAGAGGTGAAAGCCATGAAGCAGAAAGGAATGTGGAGAAGAAGAGCTGGTTGTCACGACATGGTGCTTTGGATGTTTCGTTGAACCTTCCGCCACGTTAGCCACGGTTGAGTTGACCGAGCTTGTTTTGTTTGCTAGCCCCCTTGTCCTCACGCCGACTTTGTAAGAACATTGGATTTTAGTTTCAGAATGAATAATCCCTCCGTTCAACATTTAACCTAATAGCTTAATCATTAGCTAATGTAAAATTTTATTAGCTTTAAGAATTTATTAAGAGTATTTTTTCAAGAATAGTTATTTATTACTTCTAAAGAATACTGAAATATCTTATACTTTAAACATAGTACCTCTAAAAAAAAGTCCTGTAGCGTTAAACGGAGAAAATAATTTGTGTCTGTACACATACACACATTTACGAAGTTGCTTGATTACCTCCTATTAGGAAAATTCAATTAATATTAAACTTTAATATTAAATTAATCCATCTCAAATATATTTTTGTTCTAATAAAAAAATTATATATGAGTTTTACTTGATCCACTAATAGAAACAGGGGTTATTGACCAATAAAGATTGGATTAACAAAAGGTTCTAATATCACAAAATGTGATGAACTAAAATTTAAATCCAGCACATTTAATGTCTAATCATGTTTTAAATAAAATTATTTTTAATAAAATGATACTAAGCAATAAAGAGAAGAGAGAGGGTTATCCCTTTTCTTTTAAAAGGTCCAACTCTATCCATTCTATTTTTCTTCCAACGAATATTATCTATTTCATATAATTAAGTGGCTATATATATATATATATATATATATAATTCTTTAATTTTATGTAATATTTTAATTTTATAAAATATCTTTTTTTTCCTAACCCTAACACGATTAGCTTAAAATAGTTATTTTTTGTGCTTATCATTGTTATTTTAAAAATTAAACTTAATATAATGACATTTAAAAATATTTTATCAATATTTAAATGTTCAATGTAAAAATTTTTTACTAATAAAATTAATAGTATTATGGTTACATGACTAAAAATACACTTTATAAATTAAGGGACTAAAATAAAACTTTATATAAAGTTAAAAAAACTAAATGTGTCATTGAAAAGAAAACCTAATATATACTTCAGCCTAATTAATTAATATATATAATTTACTATCAAATTCACTTTCTTGATCGAACATGAATTATTTTATTGTCAGATCACGTTCAAATTTAATATCTATCACCAAGTTAAAGCATTATTAAAATTTTGGTGAACGGCAAGGCTGATAATTAAAATTGGATCATTTTTAAGATATATAAGTACCACCGTGAAAATCAGATTAAAAACCACCAACTCAATAATACCCGGTCCAAATCTTTCGGAATCATAAACCCAATATATGCTTTTTCACTGCCAATTTACTTGTTCTGATTTTTTATATCCCTAATTTTGTGTCTTATTTTAAATTTTTAGGTACGGCTTGTTCTCAATAATACCTTTCTAAACCTTTTGAAAGAAGTTAAAATTTAAAATGCTGTCGTATTAAATAAAGAATGAAAGTAAAAAATAAAAAATAATTCTTGTATTCTGTATAGGCTTTTTATCTTCCTTGACGTACGTGTTTTGTGCTATCAAAATAAGTAGATGGGAATAAAGAAATAGTATATATGGTTAAAAACCCCAGACATATAAAGAAATAAAATGAGGCTAATTTGGGTTGCAAGGATTGGCTCAGTGACGAGAGCGAGATCAATAGTGTCTAAAATTTGAGTTCTTTTTTTGTGGTTGAAAATATTAATCACAGTATAAAGCATAACTATCGTCGACAAAAACTACAACAAATTGTTATTAAAAAGAAAAAAGAAAAACTGCAATAAAGAATAATAATATATAACCATATCTCACAACTAAAAAAGCGAAAAATCAATATGATACAAACGACATTGTCTTCATTATTGACTATCATTCGCGTAATCTAATGTGATTAGTGATTAGGGGAAATTAATTGACAGTTTGTTCAGGAAGCACGTCGTCGAAATTTCTTCAATGCAACTGCACGAGTTTTACGTACTGCGCTCAAAGCCTCAAATTTTGGGACTTGATCACTTGTAGGCGCCAGTGCAAATCCTTCAATTTAGCCAAATATTTCTCTCGGCCATCTCTTCATCCTGAAACCCGGAAATTCCTTCAAATCGCTTATGACCTCTCTTTGACCCAAAGACGAATTCCAAAAAAACTGAAAAAAAAAGGGAAAAAAATTATAGTGCGGCTACATTCAACTCTATTGACCATTCATCGCCTCCAAGCTGCATCATCGTGCTGATGCAAGCTACATTATTTCACATTTGGTTGCTATATTCTTTGTGTTCAGAGGGAAAAGGCTCTCGATTTGTTTCGGGTTGCGATAATGTTTGAGGGAATCCATGTTAACGGAAGCTGTATGCGATGACGCCATGGTTATTCACCACTTCAGCGGTGCAGAGCTAATTTCATCTCCGCAATTCATCCTCGTCTTCTGGCATGGCATGATCTTCGTGGGTACATGATTTGGTGGGCTCTGAATTATGGAAATGAATGGAATTAAGAACAACGCCTCCTGGGTTGCTCTTGTTTTATTGTTCTCATTAGTTTCTTTAAGTCTGCTACCACGGACTCAATGTGCAGACGGGGATAGCGCTAATCCCAGTGTGCTTCCAATAGTAACGCAAAAAATCTATGAACGACTTACAAATGTCACGACAGATTTAACCAAAGACATCAAGACTAATCTAGGCTTCTGCATAAAGGATGTGTGCGTCATACTGCCGTCCTCTAGTGGTCAGTTACCTGTTCCTATTTGTCGTAGTTATTAACGATACATTCCCATCCTGCAGGAATAGAGATTGGGATGGAGCATTTAATTTTACGGGAAAACTGGACTTTCTGACAGCTTGTATTAAACAGATAAAAGGTATGAATTTTCTTTTGAAATCTTAGTTTCATTCACTCTAACTCTATGCTGATATGCTCCTGCGGTCTGGAGTATTTCCTAATAGTTTGCATACCCTGCCATTCGAAGAACATTCAGAAGAAATATAACAGAAATCTGTCTACGGGAATTATAAGCGGTGTAGGAATTTCAGCGTGAATTTCAGTTGCATAATGTGTAATATACTTCACTGCATGTTTAAGGAGGTTGACATAATGGCTGTGTTCGGTCTTGGCATCACATGAGGAACTGGCAAGTTCCATGACTGTGTTTCACATGATTGTTCGTGCCACCAACCTGCTCAATTTCGCAAGTTTATCCCTTGCCAAAACCGAGCTTGTGCAGTGAAAACATAGCTATTTGTAGTCTAGGAACTTCATGACACATACCAAATCCTGCTTTATCTTTTCTTCTGCATTCTTTTTCTTGAAGCAAGTTCGTATTATTATTCATTCCTCTTGATACTTCTTAAATATACTATGGACTAATTGGCAGGAGATCTTACATATCGAATATGCAGCACAGCCGAAATAAGGTTCTACTTCAATTCTTTCAAGAGTCAGTCATCGAGAAACCTAAGACCTAACAGGAATTGCAATTTGACATCATGGGTGGAAGGTTGTGAACCTGGTTGGCATTGTAGTGTAAGCACAGGCGTTGACCCTAAATATTTAAGGGAGTCGAAAGACATTCCTCTAAGAAACAAGGACTGTCAACCTTGTTGTGAGGGTTTTTTCTGCCCTCGAGGGTTGACTTGCATGATACGTAAGTATGCAATACCTCTTAAAATTTTACCTACAATTAGTATTGAATTATCCTAATTATTGAGACTTATTCAACTCTTGAAGCTCTTGTCTTCTACTCTTTCCAAATAAGATCATTCCCATAGTTTGTGCCTGGTGTTAAATGTTTTTCAATCTTCACTAAATTACATACGCGAAGAAACTTTATCCTGGATGACAACTTACAAATAATTATGCACGAGTTAATAACTTATTTATTAAATATTAAATGCAAATTTGTGTTAGAACTGTGGTATGCTATGCCTTAATCTCAAGAATCGTGTGGTTCCCAGTGAGCAATTCTCCTTGTGAATATGGCATGCTAAGATGTTGGATGACCCTGGTCTGTAGTAGAGCTATCAATTGTTCCTAGTGATTAGAAGCCATTTTCCTTTTGCAGCAAAAAACCTGAATTTTAACATCCAAATAGAAGTATATTTTGGAGCAAAAATTTGACAATACTATGCCCAAATTTGAGAGTTGAGATAATACGTACCTTCCTGACTGTGGAGACATATATGCGCGCAGTGATAAACTGGAATCAGTTATCAATTTCTTTTCATCAGCTGCTATTTGATGGTTATTGTAGAACTTTATTTTTTCTTTAAAATCTTCTTAAGTACATTTTGCGCGCGGAATTAGTTCCTCTAGTATCATTAACTTGTCTGATTTTGTTGGTAAAGCTTGCCCACTGGGTTCTTATTGTCCCCTTGGAAAACTGAACAAAACGAGTGGATTATGTTCACCGTAAGTTGTAGTATATACTTTATTTCTCAAGTTTTCCCTATACGCTTCACCACTTAATGTGGTCATCACTAAAATCAATTTGCAGATATCATTACCAGATACCTTCTGGAGCGACAAATCATAGTTGTGGTAGCGCTGATATTTGGACTAATGTTGTCAACAACAGTGATATCTTCTGTTCTCCAGGATCATACTGCCCTACCACGACAAGTAAACTTTCCTGCAGTAAGGGGTATCGATTTATCCCATGCCTTCTTTTGCTTTCTTCTGAATTGTTTCTAACTTTTGCTGCAATCCTTCTTATTACATTCTACTCCTTCTCCTCCCTATTATAACCACCTGGCGTCGACCGCTGAGC